GAAGCCTCAACAAAAAGTCTCCATTTGGATAGCAAGTTACAGTTTAGGGTCCATGTTCACAAATACTACATTTTTCTTCTGACTTTTAGTCTGTTTCTCTTTTTCTATGCCCTATAGGATTATCCCAGTCCCAACTTTTATACACAAAAGGATGATAAAGTGGAAAGAAAGTAGAACATTGGCTATCAGGTGCCATCAAACTTAAGACATACCAAAACATTTAACTAATTAATTATTGTTCTTTCTGTTTGCTAAAATTATTAGAAAGCATAGTTGTTTTATCTTATAAGGATTTTATTCATATGTATTCATTGAACATACATCATGTCAATGCAAAATTACTGTGCAGGCTTGCAAGATACATTATCTCTTCTATTCAGAATGAAATAAGAACTACCTTGAAGGGACAGTGTCAAATGGAGTAGGTAATGCCTGACAGCTGACCGCTGGCAAGCACAACTTTGATTTAGTGCTAAGTACAATTAGTCCTCCATGACCCTGTGTACCACTACTGTGTGGCTAGCAGAGATGGGCGTGCTGTGGCCACATCAAACAACTCCCAACCCAAGGAGTGTTTTTCTGGATGAGGGGAGGAATGACAAAGAAAGGACACCACCAGGCAGTGCATGGTGACATGCTGCCTTGTTCAGTACAGGCTATGAATGCCACAAGGCAATGGTTTTGAAAAAATTTAGGGGATGGTGCCTGTGGCTCAAAGGAGTAGGGCGCCAGTCCCATATACTGGAGGTGGTGGGTTCAAACTCGGCCCCAGCCAAAAACTGCCCCCCAAGAAGAAAAAATTTAGGCAACCTGAGCTATAAAGAAACCCTTCAGGGGAGTCCCTTATGTTAAACAGGCAAGAAGTTGAGATGGAAGAGGAAGCAGGGAACCCCTTTCCTGGGGCACTACTGGTAGCCAAGATCACAGGTTTAAAAACTTTCTGGACTTAGGAAATGGGTAAGATTTGAATGGATAGAGACAAGGGAGGAAGGCATTCTGGGTGGGAGGATCAGTAAGCATGAAGGAAAGGAAGTGGGAACCTAAAGGAAAAGGAGTCCCCTTAGCCATGAACACCTGGTAAGAATGAGTTGGTAAGTGGTAAAAAGGAATCCACCTGGTAAAAAGGAATCCACCTAGGTTTCCAACTTGAACTAATTTTTTTTTAATACTCTAAGCCTGGTAAAAATAGTTAACAAATGCTCTGAATCAGGGCCAATAAGAAGCTTAAAGGTAATGGTCAAGTAACAGGTCTTGTCATTATTCTTTACTTCAGAGTCATTTCAAGTCGTTGTGAGAGGAAATGGCTTCCGACACGCCCGCAACGTGGACAGGGTCCTCTGCAGCTTCAAGATCAATGACTCCGTCACACTCAGTAAGTCCTTGCAGAGTGTTTGGGTGTCTTCAGCCTGATTCAGGGAGGGGAATTCCCAGCTCTGTCTTCCAGCAAGGCCACACATCAAACTGACAGAGGAGAGTCTTCCTGGTGGGACAGACCTCCAGCAAGGGCATAGCTAACCCCTGCAGGCCTTCCCCGTAGGTACCCAGCCTGGTGAGTCCCCCATAGGCTATGCAGCCATGAGCAGCAGCTCCATGCTAGCCCTCAGCGGGCAGCGGGGCGTTGGTTTCCTTGTCTGTTGGTTTCCTTATCTGTTGACTTCTGCTAAGGGGTGCACTCTTATCTGGTTAGTAAGGGCTGGTGAAGCTTGAGGTTCATTAATAAAGTATTGAGGATTCTTCAGGGTAAGAGTGAAAAAGGGATGGTCTGCATTTATTAATCCTGAACAAACCAAAAGCCAGACTTGTAGACTTGCACATGTAGATTCTGTAGCTCTTTTCAATTTGGAAGATTCTTCCTTGGAGTAGCCAAGAAACTCTCATCATGGTGAATATGTTACACGAAATACAGGAATGTGGGAGTAAAACTAAGTGCACGTCATGAGAAAAAGGAATTATCATAATATTTGGAGCAGTCAAGTTCCTCATTCAAAGGCATGTGTGATTCATGTGGTTGACCAGGAGTGATGGGAGGATGATTATGGGAGCCTTGCTTATTATTTGCATCTGGCATCCATCACGCAGATATTGATTCCACATCTGCAATGATAAACAGCAGTCATGATATCCTGTGTTTTCCATCGTGCTGTACTTTCTAAAAGCATCATGTCTTTTTACTACACCAGCCCTGAGAGGTAGGAAGAGCAAGGAGGACGGCAGGACTCACATTTGTTGACTAACCACACACACTTCTTTCGTCCTCCTGATAGCCCTTTGGAGGATATTATCCTGTTTTTAAAGAAGAAAAATGCCTTTTTTCCTCCTTGAAATTTTAAAACCCAGTTGAATATTTGAACAGACACTTGCAGTGGCTTCTTCACAAACATCTGGAATTTCTGGTTTTGGAATAATTCCAAAGATTGCAAGTATTCAGTTTTCTTAATATTTGGAAACGCTTTCACATGCTACTTGAAAACATTTTAAAATAACTCTGGATAGTCTCAGTGTAAAAATTGGACATGTACTTGCTTTTTCTCCCCCTTTTAATTGTGACGTCACTTAAGGCCACCCTCCTTCTCTCTTTAACCAAAATTCCAAGTCTAAGATTGTAAATTTCTACAGGTTTCCTAAGAGACATTAGCGCCTTCCAAAGGAGACTTCCCAGACAAGCGAGCTTCAGACCCCAACTTGTCTGAAGATAAATGGACATTGGATGGACATAGGATGGGGAGAGAGATAACCTACCCTGCCATTACTTTTTACAAGATGAAATGCATATTGATTATGGATTTGCAGGGTCGCACTTTGAAGGCCTAATTTTCAACTTCTCCATGAAATTTTGTACTTGGGGGAACTGGCCTATTCTCTTTCTCACTCATCTCTTCTTTTCCTAATGCCATGTTGGTCAGGCTCACCACCTCATTCCTATTCAAAAAGCAATAAAGGCTGATGGGGGTAGGGATTTGGCTTAAACCACAAACCTAGGCGTGCTTCTGCACAGTGCTATCATTAACAGTGGAGAGATGAAGAAAGTGAATTTATCATATTTGTGCTGCAAAAACACTCTAAAACCCAAACATATAGTATTAAAAATAGTCTAAGGGAGAAAATTAGAGTTTGAGGAAAACACTAGGCCTTCAATTATTAATTCACCTTTTCATTTTCATTCATTAGATAATATGAATAAGAACCTGTGTTGAAAGGTGGCATCTACACACTGACATTTTTTAATCAACCTTACGAACATCATAGTCTCTCTTAATTCCTCCTGGTAAATAACATATATTTAGATTTCCTTACCTTTCCTGTTTTCTTTCTCTGTCTCTATACTCCATGTTTTAAGATGTTTTCATTTTTATATATTTTTCAAATTTTTTCCTAAATGCACTATTTCATTTTGTAACAAAAAGAGAACATAAGTGCTATTATTATTTTTTTTTTACTTTTTGTTTTGTTTTGTTTTTTTGAGACAAGGGCTCATTTTGTGCCGTGAGTAGAGTGCTATGCCATCATAGCTCACAGCAACCTCAAACTCTTGGGCTCAAGAGATCTTCTTGCCTCTGCCTCCCGAGTAGCTAGGACTACAGGCACCCACAACAACGATCCAGCTCATTTTGCTATTTTTAGTGGAGACAGGATCTCACTTTTGCTCAGTCTAGTGGTCTAGAACTCCTGAGCTCAGGTGATCCACTCCCCTTGGCCTCTCTAAGTCCTAGGATTATAGGCATGAGCCACTGAGCCTGGCCTCTATAAATGCTATTTTTAATCAGAAAAAGACTCATTAAAACCTCATAATGAGGCTAAAATTTTATGGCTCCATTCACTTTAAATATGACATAGGCTACAAGGCCTTCAAATAAAGTAGCAAATTATATGAAGTAAACGCAGTTGAAAGACCACATTGAAAAGTTATATTTATAGTGGGAGATATTAATGAAATTTTGCAAGTTTCTGAATAAACTCATTAATAAAACAATTAAAGATATGATTATATCTGTTATGCCTTTTTAAATAACTAAGAACAACCTTGCAAATTTATCATGCTAAGACACAAAAAATGCCAACATAGTAAGGCCGAAAAGTAGAAATTGTTGAGATATATTCTTAGATGATCAACATAACCAGAAAATTTAAACCATAGGCCAATACCTTCTTCTCTCCCACTTTTCTTGCCTTTGCTTAAAAATAAAGTCAAGCAATCAACCACTTAGAAATATCTGAGACAATTTCTGGATGTGTGGCTACTACAATAGATTCAGAAAGTCTGGATAAAATAGGATTTAAAAGATTATAACATGTGGCCTCACAAGAAAGAAGGGGAAGTCCCGAAGTACAGAAAACAATAAGGAAATAAAAACCCAAGCAGGAAGCAAAGCCTTGGGAGCTCCTGGCCTGGAGGCTTTAATCAGATGCTAATACAGATTCAGGACATCTCGGGCCTGTGCAAGGCACCAGGTGAGAGCAGAGCCCCCTGGAGAAGTCCGGATTCAGAGGGCTGCACCACACAAGAAGTGGGGGAAGGAAGCAGGCCAGGGAACAAAATCTACAGGTGCAGTGATGTCATACCATTCACGAGATACAGTAGCATCAAGTCAAGAAACAAGCCCCTAAATGTGTCCATGACCATCCCAATCCCTGTGGCCCTGCAGAGGCTGTGTGCATTCTCCCTGTAGGAGCCTCGTGCATAGCCACACCCATGGAACTCCTGCAGCAAACACGCCCCTCTGAAGATGGGCTCACAGCACAAATGACAAACCTTATAAAGATGAGGGAAAGAAACAGGATAACAAATAAGAAGAGAAGATCAGAGAAAAAATTTGAAAGAGAATGTAGAATAAACACATTTAAAATGCGCAATGAGATCAGAAGGATCATAGGAAAAGAACACTCAAGAAAGGCAGATTGGCAGAAGGCCTGAGTATAAATTATTGATCGAAAATTTTATTTATTCTTTGAAATACAACTTCACGGATGAATTGAAAAATGAGGTCAGATACAGATGAGGATGAAATGAACTAGAAAGGAGAGAAGAGGAAATCTCACCCGTAACCAAAGCACTAGATGCTGTTTTTTTTCACCCAAGCACTACCAAATTTTAAAGGACCAATAACCTACATTTGATACATACTGTTGAGCGGAAAAAAGAAAAAGCTTTTTAATTCATTTTATGATAATAATTTAATCTTTTTTTTCTTTAAGAAAACTAGGCAAGGGCACTAGAAATAGAGACTATCTGAGATCAAGCTCACTGATGACAAACATCTAAATAAAATATTGGCACACAAAATCCAGCAATGTATTTAAAAAGGACCAAGATAGCTAAGACAATTTTGAAGAAAGAGGGGGAATTTGTCTCTTATATGGCAGAATAAACTGATGCCAAATGTAGTTAAAATTGATTGTCCATGCCTAATGATTTTTAGAAAACTAGCAATAGGATAAGACATCTTAAACATAATAAAAATACATCTAGACAAGCTGAATTCAAAATTCAATATCCTCCTAATAATAAATCATTTTTAGAGAATTTCACTTTAAAGTTAAGAAGACAAAAGCAGGCCAACCTGTTTCACCACTATTATTTAACATTAATCTGAGAGTTCCAATAGCACCATCCAATATAATTTTCTATGACAATGGACATTTTCTAATAGGGTAGCCACAAGTCATGCATGGCTGTTGGACACTTGAAATATGGCTAATTAGATTGAGGAACTGAATTTGTGATTTCATTTAATTTTTACTAACTGCCATGAGCGTTAAAATAACACAGGAAAACTGATGAGAGCTATAAATCCAGAAAAAGGGGCCAAGCATCATTATTCTAAAATAATGGTTACATCTTCCTGGAAAACAAGGGAATCAAGAGAACTACTCTAAGAGGGTTATTAAGCTGGATGATTTAGAAATAAATGTCTTGCTTATAACAATCAGTAGCTTTGCCAGAGTCCAGCAGTGATCAATTAGAAAACATCACAGGAAAAACATAGCAACAACAAATAAAATCTAGTAAGAACTCATTTGACCAAATTTGTAAAGATATATGAAGAAAGTTATGAAACTTTGTGAAGGATGTAAAGAAAGTGTGGCGAGATGGAAGACATAGACTCATGACACAGTGCAGGCTTTGTAGGCAGCCCACCACGGAAAGGAATCCTGGCGCTCTTGTGAACATAGCTGTATCTCCATGCCTTTGTTTCTCTTCCTGTAAAATGAGTATGGCAATAATAACACTTATATGAGGACTGTAATGAGGTTTAAATACCACAGGTAGGGTTTAGAAGAGGGCCTGTTGCATAATAAGGAGCCAGTCAGCGTTGACTGCAGATATTACTTTATGATTGTCGCTATTATTAAATATCACTGTTATTTAATGGA